CCTTGTGTCTGTCAGACTTCCCATCATGCCTTGTGTCTGTCAGGTCTTCTGGATGACCGGCTCCATGCTGATCATCATCTTGGGGATGTTGGTGGTTCCCACTCTGGGCTGGAGGTGGATGATCCGGATCTCCGTCACCCCGAGTCTCATCCTCATCTTCCTCTTCAAGGTGGGACGTCCTCCTCACCTGTCTCTCCTCACCTGTATTTTCTCACCTGTATTTTCTCACCTGTCTCTCGTCACCCGTCTCGTGTCTCCGTCTTCTCGTTGGTCCAGTTCATCCCGGAGTCGGCGCGCTACAACGTGTCGGCAGGAAACGTAGACGCTGCCGTCAAGACGCTGCAGCGAATCGCCAAAATGAACCGAGCGACGCTTCCTCCAGGACGCCTGGCGGAACCGGCAGTGGTAGGTTCTAAATATAGAGAACCAGAGTCCACAGAACAAAGACACTGAGAACTGATGGGACATCCAGAAATGTTCACCCTTGGAACTCTTAAGTTTAGTTTCATAAGAGGAGTCTGAGAAATCATTTTGTTTTTCTGTGTGTTGTGGGGAGTAATTCTATGTGTGTATTTGTCTGTATGTTTCTGTGTATTTCTGTGTATTTTCTGTGTGTTTTACTGCGAGTACTTCGGGGTAACGCTGTTCCTGTTTCAGAGAGAACGAGGCAGCTGGAGGATTCTGCTGAGCTCGTCCTACAGGAGAACCTCGGTTCTGCTCTGGTACTCCTGGTAACCGTCAGCTTCATGTTCACCCTCTTTCACAGACAAACTACCAAATAGTAAAACAGCAAATTATCAGCTGGAACCAAACGACAAAACCCAGTCAGACCCGGTCTGAGTTCTGCGTTGGTTCTCCTGCAGGTTCGTGGCTTCGTTCGCCTACTACGGTTCGGTTCTGAGCAGTTCGGAGCTGCTGGAGAAGAACCTGCTCTGCGTGACGGGCGCCGACCGCGAGCATCAGGTCAAACACCGCCAGGAGGACGGGCTGTGCTACTGCATCCCCTTCGCCTTCAACGACTACCAGACGCTGCTCATCAGCTGCCTGGGCGAGGTCGCACGTAAGTCAGAACCGGCTCAGAATCCGACCAACTCAGAACCAACATCAACCAAACTCTGGTTCTCAGTGTTGAACATTCAGCTTGTTGTTTGGTGTGTTTTCTGTATGTTTGTGTTTTTAGTGTACTTTTCATAGTTTCTGTGTATTTTTTAAAGTACTTCTTTGTTTCTGTGTTTCACTTTACGTCTGCTCTGCGTTCTACCATTCCTGAGTCTGCAGAGAACCTGCGGTGTTCTGATTCTGGTCCAGTTCTACGTTCTGACCTCCTTCTGTTCCATCCTCAGTGGTTCCTCTGAACATCGGTTTGCTCAACGTCTTCGGGCGGAAGATGACTCTGACGGTGCTGCAGCTGATGGCGGCCATTTTCTTCATGCTGATAAACATCTGCACGACCATGTAAGAACCCAAAGGTTCTGTTCTGATGGTCCGGGCCGACCGCGTCCAGGTTTATCAGGTCTAACCAGGTCTAGGTTTATCGGGTCTAACCAGGTTCAGGTTTATCAGGTCTAACCAGGTCCCGGTTTATCAGGTCTAACCAGATCCTGGTTTATCAGGTCTAACCAGGTCCAGGTTTATCAGGTCTAACCAGGTCCAGGTTTATCAGGTCTAACCAGGTCCAGGTTTATCAGGTCTTCCTCTCTGTTGCAGGTTTGGCTTCACCGTCCTCCTGTTCCTGCTGCGTTCTCTGGTCTCCATGAACTTTAATGTGGTTTATATTTACACCGCTGAGGTACGTCGCTGCCGGATTATTGATCAGTTATTGATCAGGCCCCAGGTGTTTTTATGGATCAGGTCTCAGGTGTTTTTGTCTCTCAGGTGTATCCCACTGCAGCACGCTCTCTGGGGATGGGCTTCTGTACGTCGTTCAGTCGCATCGGAGGAATGATCGCTCCGTTCATTGCTCAGGTGTGTTCAGTTGATGTCTGTGTGTACTTCAGGTGTTTCTGTGTGTACTTCAGGTGTTTCTATGCGTACTTCAGGTGT